CCCCCACCGTAGCTGTACGTGTAAAATAGGTAGCTCACCCCCGCCACTCCGGTCAAGAAATCTACGCGGTCGTTCTCGCTCTCGATATTGTCAGAAACCGCGATGTCCGGGTCGTAGCGTTTCACCATCCAATACAAGACGTCCGCCACGAGCTGGAAGTTGGGGGCCCGGAAGTTGTCCATGGAAACCGACCGGGGGTAGCCCAGCGCTCGCATGATCTCGGTGAAATCTGCGGATCTCCCCCGGGCAAGAAGATTTGAATTAGATAGAACTGATATTGCGTAGACTTGATTTGATTGCTTTTCTTTTATCGTTCTGTTCCACCTACCGCTGTACGTCCTCGGGATATAGTGCGGTTTCGAATCGATTCTTCGCCGACGTATGTATGCATACGCCAATAACCTTCTTGTTTCGTAATGTTCGGGCACGCCTTGTTTACAAGATAAATCGAATCCTCACGAGATTGATTGCTCGATCACAACTGGATCATGGCTTTGCAATCACTGCCCGGGCCGTCGTCGCAAACTCTCTCCAAGGGTATGCATACGATCTCATAGGTTTGTGCATGTACCTAACAACAAAAAACAGACGACGACGGCGCTCACGCGGACAAAAAAGGGTGGGTCTGTCTAACAGCAGAACACCGCCGGATCTCCAAAGCCTCGAACCAGAAAGTCGAACTTCGGGTGTGTTGGTGGAGGTGTTCATTCATAGTCGCATGTGTCGTAATCGTTACGTAGACCATTGACCTCGCATCCCTACAAAGCCGGGACAGACGACGCCGGGTTCTCACCGGTCCAGGCTCTCACAATCACCGAGCGCGCAGCGCCGTGAGTTGTTCTGGGATGGTGGTGGGGGGGGGCGTACTCTTATGTTTTGCATGCCTTAGCGGTTAGACCGTTGACCACGCGTCCTCGAGAGGACGGAGCATTGTTCCCACAGGACCGATCACCGATGGCCAATCGTTCCTTTCTACTTTGCCAAAGGTGGCTCAAAAATGTCTTCCCTAGTCTGTCTATCCTAACGATATCCCTTCCCGCCTTTTCAACCCACCTCCTATGCCCCACTACAGCTACCGTCCTTTCCTCTCTATTCCATGCCTCAAACATCTCCCTGTACGTTCCATCTATTTTTCCCAGCTCAGTCACGTACACTTCCCTCTCCTTCTTGTACAACGGACATTCCGCGACTACATGAACACGGTCTTCGCATTCGAAGCCGCAATCACATTTGAACTCGTCGTCTTCCTCGTCTACCGTCCTATGTCTTCGTCGACGTTCTCGAAGGCCTATGTCCCCGGTCCTGAATTTGACCTTAAGCTTTGTTCCTGCATCCATTGGTCCATGTAGGTAGTCCTTGAACCCTATTCCTTCCTTCAACATTCCGTACACTTCTAGACCCTCCTTATCCTCGGATTCTTTCCTTAGATTCTGTTCTTCTCTCTCGGCACAAGCAACATATATCTTCTCCTTGAACCCCTGTAGACCCTCCGTTTCCAGCGTTTCATCTTCGTCGATGTCGAGCCCCTTCCATACGGCCTCTACAATCTTGACCCATTCCGTGGGTTGCCTACCCCTCTTTTTGTTCGCCCACTTCGCCTCCCATACAATTCTCGGCAACCTCTCCTCTCCCATCCCGCACATGCGATACTGCCATGTCAGCTTCCTCGCGTCTCTTCCCGACCGTAGGGATTGGATCCCCAATTCTGCCCTGACGGCTGCATTACTTGTGCGCTTGGAGCATCCTAGGATGATTTTCGCTGCTTTCATGTGCGCCGCCTCGAGTTCTTTCACTACCTTCTTATTTCCTTCCCATACTTCTCCGGCGTACTCTAGCGGCGGTACGATGACGCTCTTCAAAACCGTCAATTTGATGCGTGTATCGAGGTGCCGGTTTGCGAGTATTGGGTGAGCAGGTGGTGGCGGGGGTTCGCTCAAAAACATTCCCGACGGACGATCGCTCTATGTACATGGCAGGCAGCAAGTTGAGGGTCTCGGCACGAAAAAAATCCGACTGTGAGACACTCACTCGAACCTCCAACACATTAACAAAAACGCGTCTCGGAGCTAAAACAACTGGCACACAACGCAGCACCTCCCCCCTGGTTCGAGATCCCGTTTGGGCCCTACAGGGGGAGGGCTGCCAGACGCACCCTGGGAGTGAGCGTAAGCGGGTGAGCATCTACTATAGCACACCAATCGGTTCACGCATCATAACGGGAATCGGGGGGGCGGCGGCAATAAAGAAGCGCCGAACGGCAGCGTTCGTTGAGTGTGCTGACTTCGGCATACCGTGGGCAAGGGAGGGTTCCAGCCGTTGAATATATTTGTTGTGACCCTCCCGGTACTAGCGGTGCGATCCAGCCAATTTCACCGGCATTTAGCGGGCAACCCGCCCGAGTACGAAACAACTTGAATACTCCATCTGTGCCAAACAATTTCACCGGCACCGTAACGGGCGACCGGAATTTTCCGGGACTACTACTAGATGGAGTTGCATGCAGCAGTCAGTTTTTTTTTTTCTTAATATGACACAACGAGTCCATCTCTATCATTGATAAGAGTCAGAGACAGATTAACAATGGAATCATTGCGTCAGAAAAAACTACCTGTATGTCTACGATTTCCCAGACAGTATATTTTAAAGCATCCAGCTAATCACGGAAACACTTGTACCCGTTCGAGATTAAATCACAGCCGAACGGGGTGTGCTGAAGTTCTTCGTAATCACCGTATCGGACACAAGATAACACCCCCCCTGGACCAAAAGCTCGATTATTCAACGAGAGAAAGACTCGCAGCGCTGAAAAAGGCGGCGTTGAAGCCGTCTGGTCCAGAGCTTTCCAAAAACGCATCATTTCGTCCACGCATCCTCTTCGTCGTGGAGTAATCGAGCATTGAAAATCTGTCCGGGGGGTGTGTTATTTTATGTCGTGTACGGTATATTGTTTCATGAAGATGGCGCTTCCGTACCACTCCGGCGTATGGGGTGTACCGCCGTAGCACCGTGTCCCCTACCGACGCACACAAAGCCCATGACAGCAGTTTCAAGCATCCGGCGAGTAGAGCTGCGCTATTTGCCCGACATCCAAGGAAGCCATCGGGGTATGTGAACACCATCTGACTTCATACGAATGGCTGGTAGCGATGTACAGCAACGAGCCATAGACTACGTAACAAACTTGAATCCCGGCAGTTGGGTACCGAATACGACGCAAGATAACACACCCCCTGGACCGATTTTCAAAGCTCGATTACTCCACGACGAAGAACATGCATAAACGAAACGGCACATCTTTGGAAAGCTTTATCTCGACAAGGCGGCTTCAACGACGCCGTTCTCGGCGCTGAGAATCTCTCTGCTGTCGAGAATTCAAGCTTTGAAAATCGGTCAAGGGGGTGTCTTATCTTGTGTCGTGCATGTACGGTATGCGTATGTGCCCAATCGGGGCTGGCCATTCTCGTGCACGGAGCATAACTTCTCGTGCACTCTCAAGCTGCAGGCATGAAACAGCACTCAAAGCGCTCGACGCAGACAACAAAATTGGCGTATATCAGCACCTGGTACCTGTACTACAGCAGTACCTTGGTACATGGTGCTTGGTCAGGTTTCCGGTGTAGACGATTTTTGTTCGAGTGATCCCACAGCAGCGGTCAGAATACCAGCAGTAAAAGCCACAGCAATTGTAATCGTTTCCCTTGTTGTCGGAATTGTGTATGCACACCCTTGCCAAACTACTGCTGCAGTACCGAGTTGCGAGAGGGAATGAGTGGATACGTCGAAGTATCAACGTAGAAGTACGATGCAGGATCGGGAGGTGCGGCGACGGTTTCCACCGCTCTTCCGCCTCCAAGCCTGCATGACATTAATTTTCCACGCGAGACGCTGAAATTAACACTTCGTTATTTTGCACATCGTGCGTGCTACTACTGCTGTAGACTACTGCACCTTGAGATCGTAGCATTCAAGAAAACATCCAATAAACAAGCATAGCACATCACGCGTAACTTTGCATCCACGTACAGGAGCACCGAGCGCCTCGTAGAACGTGCGACATATGCTGTTGCTGTGTAAAATCCATTCGTGCGGAGCGCTGTGAAAATTGAAAATTGGAACGGGGGTCATGTAGCAGGTGCTCGGTCCACCACCGTTCGTGACAGCAGCGGGTGTCCAGTGACCAGGCGAGAGCGCAGAGAGCTAATAAAGTCGCCACAAGTCTGCTCGCAAGCAGACCAAGACAATGCAGAGACACACACAGAAGAAGTGTACAGGTAGCAGCGACACGTGATCCTATGGACCACAGCAAGATCTGTGGGTAGGCAATCATCCGACGAGCAGTGCCAGCGTTTTCCCCTTTCTCTCTCTCTGGAGCGCAAAAGAGTGGCTGTACACAAGGATAGAGCCTCCTACGAAACTCACTTCTTAGGTCTCGGAAGGACATCTCGCCACGGCAGGTTCTGGTGCTACCCCCCCCCCCCTCGTGCACGCGCTCCTCCTAGTGCTTGACGGCAGCGTGCTCCGTGTTGTTTATTCCCCGATGCAACGCGCGCACACGCACACACCTAAGATCCTGATCCTGGGAGGCAACGCACGCTGCTTGAAGCACACGCTTCTTTCCGCCACCACCGGAACACCCGCTCTCCCTCTCTCTCTCTCTATGTTCGCGCCGTCCTTCAACCAGAAAGACCCCTCGGATGCCCGCGCTGCTGCGCACGCGGGCGCGTTGGCGTTTGCTCTCTTGCTGTACCGGTGTCTGTGAGGCGAGGTGAAAGAAGGTGAAACCCCCGCGGACCCCTTTTTTTTTTTGCGGTTTAATTTAGCGAAACACACGCCTACCCGATCGTGTCTTTGCTCTTTGCACGCACCACGCACCACAGTGAGTGCAAAAGTATCGACGCACAGACAGCAGAAGTAGCGAGCGGTCTGGTGCTGCAGCTGTACTTGGGTGTTGGTGTGGATAGAGCCCTCCCATCTACCGGCGGTCCATGTAATGCCGCCGAAAATACATGTGGAGAATCAACGTGTGTGCGATGAGATCTCTACTGATCACCCCAGGGCATCAGTGCCCATGCGGGCGGCCGATGCATGGCTTCTGTGGCCGAGGAATCGGTGAGGAAGGCTTCGGGCAGCAGAGGGAGTGCACAGATTGTCAGAGGAGAACGACTAAGGGAAAGTGGGTGTGTGTTTTTTTTTTGGTCATGACAAAAGATCGTCAGTATGTGTCGGTGTGTGTGCAATNCATGGCTTCTGTGGCCGAGGAATCGGTGAGGAAGGCTTCGGGCAGCAGAGGGAGTGCACAGATTGTCAGAGGAGAACGACTACAGGAAAGTGGGTGTGTGTTTTTTTTTTGGTCATGACAAAAGATCGTCAGTATGTGTCGGTGTGTGTGCAATTAATTGTAGTGAGCGTCAAAATCCAGGTGAAGACTCTCGCTACTGCTGTGCATCTTTTGGCACGCAACTTGCGCCCGAAGCAGTTCGCATGCCGCGCTGCTGAGGTGATTCTCGTTGTTCAACGTTGATAGAAAGCGAACTTTTGTACGTTCAGGGGACTCAGGTGTTTGCGGTTCGCAGTTGAAAAACATACAAATAGACGCAGTCGTGAAATTATGTTGTCTTCTTTTTATTCAGCGCAAATTGTAGCTGCTGGCCTGCGTGCAGTCTCTCGGCGGTAGGTGCGAGCACTCTCGTGCTCCGGAAAATAAGCGCGTGTTGTGTTGAGCACAACGGCATTTTTTCTCACGTGGGTGTATTTGCCAACAACCTGCCCTGACATGTCACAATTCCCTCGTCTCTTGCAAAATTTGTCGCCCAGGACGAGTCAAATCGGCTGGGGGGAAAGAGTCAGAGACTGCAAGGAAGGGGAAACGGCCTCAACGCACCGCGGGGGGGGGCGGCGCAGG